TCGTGCTGGCTTCATTTCTAGCACAAGTGTTTGTTCTATTGCCCATGTTAGGCCTAGATCACTTCTTATTAGTTTTAGCTGTCCTACTATTAGTTCTACAATATCTGGAGTTAGTTCTACTACGTGCTGGCGTTATTTCTAGCACAAGTGTGTGTTCTGTTGGCCATGTTAGCCCTACCTCACTTCTTGTTAGTTCTAGCTGCCCTCCTGTTAGTTCTATCCCTTCTCGAGTTAGTTCTACTGCGGGCTGGCGTTATTTCTAGCACAAGTATTTGTTTTGGTTGCCATGTTAGCCCTACCTCACGCTTGTTAGTTCTAGCTGCCCTCCTGTTAGTTCTATCACTTCTCGAGTTAGTTCTACTGCGGGCTGGCGTTATTTCTAACACAAGTGTTTGTTTTGGTGTCCATGTTAGCCCTATCTCACGCTTGTTAGTTCTAGCTGCCCTCCTGTTAGTTCTATCCCTTCTCGAGTTAGTTCTATACTGCGGGCTGGCGTTATTTCTAGCACAAGTGTGTGTTCTGTTGGCCATGTTAGCCCTACCTAACCGCTTGTTAGTTCTAGTTGTCCTCCTGTTAGTTCTATCCCTTCTCGAGTTAGTTCTACTGCGGGCTGGCGTTATTTCTAGCACAAGTGTTTGCTCTGGTGTCCATGTTAGCCCTACCTCACGCTTGTTAGTTCTAGCTGCCCTCCTATTAGTTCTATCCCTTCTCGAGTTAGTTCTACTGTGGGCTGACGTTATTTTTAGCACAAGTTTTTGCTCTGGTGGCTATGTTAGCCCTAGCTCACTTCTCATTTAACATGAAAATACTTACAACACACAACAACAACGTAGTTGTCTGTAAATGTACACGCAAAACAATTAACAACATATTAACAACATGAACATACTTACAACATTGAATACACAACAAAAACCTTGGAGAAAATTAAAATAATATTTACAAAAAAGGTGAATCGCGTGCATACAAAAGAGCAGCACAAAACCTTGCTCTATATTTTGCACAATCTCCTTTTGAAATTGTTATCGACCGTTTTTCGACAATGCTGTTAATGAATTCAATCATAAAGATCCCGCAATCTAACGTTCTGCATTTAAGGGAAAAATATTACAATATTGAAAATGACAATGAAACAAAAAAATGAACAATTAAATTAGAAATGCATGAAACACTTACGGTCCTTGTTGTGGCACGGCAACTGACACAAGACCATGATGCTCCAATTTCCCCAATCCCCAATTACTCTCAATGAAACTCATAAACTTATTTATAAATTTCACAGCATCGGCGGTATAAATGGGGGAGTTGATTGAGGAGTAGTGATAGAATTTTGTCTCCTCTCTCACTAACTCTACCAGGTGCCAATGTCCGGAGCTGACAATCGGGATCAGAATTCTTTCACACTCCAAGAACTTCTGCTGAGAAACATTTTCCTTCATTCGTTTTGCCACCATTTCAAGATTTCCTTCTAGAAATGCTTGCTAAAAGATGCAATAATGTCAACATTGTGGGATAACATAATAATAATATCCACCAATTAGTGAAAAAAACAAGGATATACTTACTGCAAGCCAAGGTCTTGTGACATGTATCTTTCGATCATAACTATCAGTTGTTTCAATCTTGTTACAAAGCCGAATAACAAATGCATCGATCACCTACAAAAATTACCATGAATGAATAAAATAGTTAATATAAATTATTTTATATACAACATCAAACAATCAATAACACAATTGTTTAGAACCTACATCGTCACTGAGTTCACCTCCCGTTAATAGTATATAAGCATCTAAGCGAGATACGCTTGCTTCGGCACACTTCCAAATGTACGTATCACTATATGCAAGTACATTGTGAGAAAATTGCTACTAGAATTAAGTAAATTCAAAGATTATTATTAGAATAAGTCAGTAACAGTTACCTGTTCATTCTCGATTGTAGAAAGTCTTCAATTAATTTGTTCTCATAATCAAACGCCAGTGCCTTACCTGGATAGTCTCTAGATGTAGGTATGAAGCCTTCTTCATTTTTGTACTTTTTTTCCCATCAGGACTATCCAATATCTGGATGACACGTCTCTTCTTTGTGCCTTCCTTTGGTTGATCTAGAGGCATATAAGGTGAAGTAACAGAGGGTCCATCCTTCCTCTCCCTCTTTCCGACAGCCCGTTTGATAGATGGCGTTTCTCTGTTATTCTCATTACCACCTTCATCTTTTTGAGAAACATCTCTATAGAGTCGAGAAGGCATATAATTAACAAAGAGTTACACAAGAATTATATGGAAAATATAAAAATTAAAATTGCAAGAAAATTTAAAAAACTAAACTCACCGAGCATCTTCTAAAATTCTCACGTCTCTTGCGCTCATCACAAAGTCATCACATAAATCGGCTTCCCCAGTTCCTTCCAAATTCTCATATTCCTTAGCTTCCATATCCTCTTTGATTTTTTTTTCTTCAGTTACATTTCCGTCATCCTCTTTCTCCTTGGTTTTTTTTTGGCATCTAGCACTACGCTCTTCTAATTCTCGTAATTCTGTAGTGAGCTCATTCAACTCGTACGTCTTCTCCGCAATTAAGAAAATTAATTCAGCTTTCCTTGATTCCTATTTGACAAAAAAAGCTAGTATTAGTACGTATACTATAGTTGCAAACATAGATACTAACAAAAGGGACATAAAATAATGAACTATTAGAGCAACGATATGTACAAATACTATTGGCGATGCCGTATGAATAAGAGGAGTATTCTCTTGGCCATTATCCGTAACCAACTTCGGGACTCTATATAATTTGTTCATAGTAGTCCTCCTCCACTTTCCAGTACTCTTCACACAAAAGAGCAGCGGTAACCTTTCAACATCTGAAGTATACTCTAATTCCCCCACTTTTTCATAAAACCAAACCTACAAAAAAGAAACTACACATTAGCATGTGCATAAACAATAATCATTATCAAAATGAAAAGATATACAAAATAATGTTCATTTAACTCACCAGTAAAACGGAGGAAAAACCACCCATGTACCCGACATTTGAGCGCTGACCTAATTCCCGCATACTAAGAGAGACTTCTTTGATTTACTCATCTCTTTGCAAAGAAAAGTGAACACCGCATGGCACCAATTATATTTATGCAAAGTTGATAACTGCTCCGCATATCTAAACGCCCACAAGGGACATGTCTTACATGTCCGCGGGCATAATATGAAGCCGATAATGAAAGCCACAATAAGTTTCACACATATTATAGGGTCTTCATTAATCATATCTACAATCATCTCGGCCATTCTATCGCGCTTCCCCGAAATCACCGCCTTCTTTTCCTCATCGGCTTTCTTATAATTCTTTACAAAATAGGTGTAGATTGTATTAGCCGCTGCCCCACTCATTTTTATCGGAATTCCCTCCTTTGGCAATCCGGTAATTCGGTGAATATCATCTATACCGAACACACAATTTTTATTCCCAATCATGAATGAGCATTTATCGGGATTAAAATTTTGAATCAAGCAATCAATTGCTATTTGCTCATTTCTCAAGGATGTGGGTATATTGAGAAAGTTGTGAAAAGGTGTCGTCTGTAGGGATTTTATGTGTCTTTCATCTAATATTATTCGCTTATCAATTAAATCTCGAAAATAACACAAATTGGCCGGAATTCTCAAGTGTGTTATCTTAGCCCTACAAGAAAATTATAATTCAGAAAGAGTTAAAAATTAAATATATTTGGGCAAATTAAGACGCATATTAACAAGTTTATTAACACAAACATTATACATCATGGCTTACAACAAAAATTATAATTCAGAAAGAGTTAAAAATTAGATATATCATGGCAAATTACTTACGAAGTTGGAGGATTATTGCATTTAGAAGAGGTAGGCTTTGATTTTGAAGAATTCGAAGACGTCGACTCTTTCAATTTGTTCGAAGCCATGAGGGCAGACGTCGAGGGTTTGGTCGAGCTCCGGAGGCGGCGATACACCTGAGGGCTGAGCTCGAATGCCATCGGAGGCGTGGCTAATGACGAGGGCTGAGCTCGACGGCGAGGAGGAGTAGACGGCGCTGACCCGGCGGCGACGCTCAGCGGCGGCGATCTCGGGAGCTGGAGAGGAGGAGGGGAGGTGATGGCTAGGGCAAGGGGACGACGGCGACGCTGAACGGGGACGTCGAGGGCTTGGCCGAGCTTGGGCGGCGGCGCTTTCGGGCGGTGGTGAGGAGGAGGGGGTCGGTGATGGCGCGATCTGAGCGGAGAGATGAGAGAGCACTAGTAGAAAACAGGGCATTGGCGCGGGAAATCCGTCACCAATACCCCAAAATCCGTCACCAATACATATTGGTGACGAAAATGGATCCGTCGCCAATAATATCGTCGCCAATAAGTATTGGCGACGGGTTCCCGTCGCCAATACTTATTAGCGACGGACGACTATTGGCGACGGATTTCTTTGGCGATGGTTGTTTCGTCGCAATAAACATTGGCGACGGGTAAATCCGTCGTTAATGTTTAACATTGGCGACGGATTCCCCCGTCGCCAATACACATTGGCGATGGGAAAATCCGTCACCAATGCCTAAAACATTGGCGTCGGGGGTTTACCGTCGCCAATATTTTAAGCATTGGTGACGGATTTCCCCGTCGCTAATGCTTATTGGCGACGGCGACGAAAAATCCGTCGCCAATGCTTAAAACATTGGTGACTGGTAAACCCCGTCGTCGCCAATGTTTTAGCATTAGCGACGGATTTCCTCGTCGGCAATGTGCATTGGCGACGGGGAAATCCGTCGCCAATGTATATATTTACGCAAAAAAATTTAATTTTCTGATAGCCTCTCATACGAGAATACACATATAACCTGTATCGACATCAATCCAATGATAATATTTAACAATATATCATAAAATCAACCATGATATACATTCACATTCCAAATGAATACTCATCCAATTTCATCTGTCAATCCACAATATTGAACAATGCTCATCATATAATCACAATCACAATACATCTCGCATGCTCAAATAATATTCATTCACTACGCAATAAAATCACAAATATATTACATATAGGTAAAATTTAAAAGTCATAATATGTCTTAACACAAGTCTCACTCACTCCTCGTCATCGTCGTTGTCGGCATCCTTATTACAGCATCGTCTGCATTAGAACGTCGTATCGTACTGCTGCTCCCTACGAGAGTACCTCCTCTAACCTGAAAAGATTATCACTCCGCATAAGATATATACCAAAAATATCATAATAAACACATATATGTCACGTTATATATACCTCCCCACCACTATGAACTTCATGCTCGTCAAACGCCAAAAAATATCATAAATTAGAAATTCTAATTAGAAATACATGTGTGCAAATATGAATAAATTTAGGAAGTTAATAGTTTAAAGATTATTCCCTGTGTTATCATTTATATTCATTGCACCACAAGTAAAAACAAAATAAATATATACCATGTAAATTACTCCTTTTATTTGATTAAGAAAAATAAATATATACCATGTAATTTTTAACAGGTTGGATCAATGAACTATATCTGAAAAATAAGAAGAGGAAAGAGATAAATGTTTCACTAACTATTCGAAAGGTCGCTTTTATATGATAGAAAACTCTTGCAAGTGCTATAGAGATTTCATACATTAAAATTCCAACTTCTAAACCAATATCGAACCACGCAAACAAAATGAGGACTCTCCATTTGATTTTGAACAAGCTTTTCAGTTTTAAACCAATATCGAACCACGCAAACAAAATGAGGACTCTCCATTTGATTTTGAACAAGCTTTTCAGTTTGACAACTCGGAGCATGTTTAACTCTCCACGTTGCAAACTTCTACAAATATAAATAAATAAATAAATAAATAAATAAAAACATGTATAAGAACATGTTATGGATTAACTAGTCCAAAAAGATTCAATAAATTTCATCAAATCTGCAAAGAGAGAATATAAGCAAAAAAAAAATCCTTTGTTAATGCTATACCTGCACTTCTACTTATCTGCATGACTCTGAGCTCTTTGGACTTGATCCTCCTGTATCTACACATTCAAGTATATATATTGCCTATTTGATGAGAACTGATACCTAATTTGAGATGTCAACTGTATCTACACATTCAAGTATATATATTGCCTATTTGATGAGAACTGATACCTAATTTGAGATGTCAACAAATCGCTATAAGCACAAGTTAATTTATGATCATACCAAAAATGGATGAGGAAAATAAAATTGTCAATTTGCTTGCATCATACTATAGTAAGGAGGACGCTTTACTACTGGAAATGTATAGTCACCTGGTTGATTTGTTTGAAAACCTTGATACTGCTACAATATACATTCAAAATAATTATAGAAAAAGGGAAATATAATGATAGTTGTTAAATATTTTTTGAATAAACCAAACCTGAATAACTTGTTGAAATCCCAACCCCTCATTCATCAAAGAAAATTTGAACCCCTCATTTGCTCCCCGTGAAACTCTCACAAATCACACCGCGAGTGACCAGACCCAATTATCAATGCTCCCCGTGAAACTCTCCTCCGGTCACCGCCTCCAGATGTTCACCACCCTCCTCCGCTGTAAATATATAGAAATAAATACTATATTAGAAAATAGAATCGAGTTAATTACCAATCTGGTAATTTGGCCTACCTCTCCCATTGCAACACTAAAATTATAGGGCCATGATTATCCACCAAAATAATGTAACTATCCGTGCTATATCCACCAAAATTACAGGGCCATGATTATAAGATTCAACACTAACAAAATATCAAGCGATCCATAAAAAATGATGCATGTTTACTTCGATTCTTTGCGTTTAGCCAGCGAAATAAGTAATCACAAGCCTCATAAATCAACAAAACTGCAAACAGATTCTTTGCGTTTAGCCAGCGAAATAAGTAATCACAAGCCTCATAAATCAACAAAACTGCAAACAAAAGTTCAGATCATAACTTTCTTCTAAAAAAACCAACAAAACTGCAAACAAAAGTTCAGATCATAACTTTCTTCTAAAAAAACCTAAATAATGAACAAAAAAATAGGGGGGAAATAAGGTTTTGAGAGAAGGAATACTCGGTGGTGGCCTATTTTTTCGAAGGAGCCGCCAAGGGTTTTGGTAGAGTTGGGAGGTGAGAGACGGGGGTGCTGCGTGGAGAAGCTGCGGGTGCAGCGCGCGTGCTGGAGGTTTCTTCAGCGAGAGGAGTTGCTAGCGATCGTTCTAGAGAGATTTGGAGGTTTGGAGAGAGAGAGAGGGGTTTGGCCTGTTTTGGGGGTTTTTAGAGGGAGCGGGGAAATGAAAACAGAAGCGAAATGAAAACAGAAGCGGGGAAATGAAAAAGGAGGCGGGAAATGAAAAAAAAGTAATTTTTTTAACATTTATCCTTCAAAATAAAGTAATTTTTTAGTATATGTTAATAAAAACAATATAAGTAAATAAGTTCCTCAATTAACTTAATGAAATTTAAAATTAATACCTTCAACAGGTGAGGATCCATGTAGAGATAATGGACTACAAGAAGGTCGTGAGGACATTCCTTCACGTAAAAAAATAAAATTATAAATACAAAATATGCATATTTATACCACAAACACAATTTATTTAAACAAATTTATATTTATACCTAATGATGAACAAGTTTGATTGTGGGAACCTAATTGCTTGTTTTCAAAGAGAGTTTGATTTTGGAATATTTTACCACGATTCTACAATGCTTTGCGATAAAAAGTGGCAATAATATGTTTTATTTTATATATATATATATATATATATGAGATTAATGGATATTCTTATCATAGGAGGTGATTTCCTTCTTGACGCCTATGTGGCACATTTCCCACCATTCTCATGAAGTAAAAGAGAGTGTGTGAGTTGGTGGGAATTTGTGCCTACTGTTTGCGTCAAAAGTTAGTTTTGTTATGGAATTCATTATATCTTCGGTCGATTACAACAAATTCAAAAGAGATAGTCTTTTTATAAGACTTCTTTTACACAACAAAAGGAAAATTATAACTTTTTAGAAACAAACGCAGGATCGTTGTTTGGATCGCTGCTTGCGTGGGATCTTTGCCTGTGCCGGGAGCGCTTTGACTCGTGGACCACCAAATCACAGATTCTGATTGAACCGTGAGGGGTTTAATGATTCTTCCTTCGTTTATCAAAGTAAGAATTTGAAGCGAATATCTTATCGATGTAAGATGTTCACTCTTCCAAAGATCAAGTCTGAGCTTAGATCTCTAGGAATCGCCAGAAGCTTCTTGAGGATGTTTGTGAAGAAGGAAGACTCTCTCTTGTTCTAATTCACCCAAAACTCAAGGCCCTCTACCCTAATCTGCTCTCCTCTCCCCTTTACTTCGTGTTTAGGGAGGTATTTATAGGGGTCTCAGTGCACCACAGTTGAAACGGGGGCGAAATAACTGACCGAGTGTTTTCTCTTTGGCCGCTGCAGTCTACACTGCCGCGGCTATTGGCGCGGCAGTATAGGCTGCCGAGGCCAAAGAGGCGGTTATCAGCACGTTCCATCGTGCTTGAAACCGCTCTCCCACGACCTTTAACCACTCTTTTCGTGGTTTAACTGCTTGTCCACGTCAGCACACATTCTATCTCTGATATGCCACTACGTGGGCTTCAAATAATCATTGTATAACTGCCTTGTAACCGCGCACAGCCACTCTTTCTATAATGGGCGCCAGGCACCCTAGGGCTTGTCGCGCCAAGACGCGACACCCTAACTATCGCACTAAAGCCGCGCACCCTAGGCTGCAGCGCCTAAGCCGCGGCGTCATATGCTGCGCGGCCTTAGCCGCGGCCCACATGTCCTGCCGCGCTGCAGTGTGTTGCCTGATGACCATGTATATCGTTCTTTCTATGTTGTCTTGAGTGGTGTTAGGACGTCTGTAAGCGTATTTTTTGACGCCTACACTACTTTATGAGAATGGTGGGGATTGTGTCAACATATGGCGACAAGGAGGAAAATCTCCTCCAATATGACAAGAGTACCCATTAATCTCTCTCTCTCTCGTCTCATCTCATCTCTCTTATTATAGTATATATATATATATATATATATATATATATATATATAGTTTGTTTTGACCTACTATCTTTAGCAGGCTTATGTATATATTTTGAGTTGAGGTACGTGATATAAAGTGTCAGGCTTGACTCGTACACAGGACTTGGCTTGTGCAAGGGTTGATGTTGTCTCGTAACCCGTGTTTATGAATATTCACTATAGTTTCGGAGCGTGACAATTTTCAAATCATTGAATCTGCTAGCATAAAGAGTAAAAAACAAAATTTAAAACTAACATAGAACCCCAAATCCATTAAAAAACTTATTTTTTTCTCCAATATATATCATATTCCTAATTAATTAAAAATGGCTATGATAAGTTCTGGTATATCATTAACAATATTAATATGCTTACATGTTCATGACACGTATAACTAAAATGATCTCCTATGTATCTCACCATTTTCTCATTATTTTCACTTTTCACAATATTTTCTCTGAACTAATCAAAGTCGTCGCCAAAAAACTCACGAATACTTATCGAATATCAAAGTATATCTATTCCGCATAAAGGAATTTAATTTTGCGAGTATCTAATTTATTACTTATATATTGATGTGTTTACACGACTCTCGGTAAGATGTGTCGTATAACAATTTACATAATTTGTGTGCGACTACATTTAAAATATTATAAGATTTTGACGGGTACTAATAGTAAAAATAATTCTTAATTTTATGAAGACACTCAATTAACAAATGAGATAATCATCAACAATATGATTAATTAAAACCAAAAAATTTTTTTACGTGATGGACACATTAGCATGACTACGATCCGAACTCCGTCGCCCAATAAGTATGGCGACGGTGTCAAATCGTCAACCAATATTCATGGCAACGAATCGAATCCGGTGCGCCAATAACGGATCCTTGATCCGTTTGCCAATAAGTCATTTTGGCGACGCGATTCGATTCAGTCACCACATAGTCTCCCGCACCAATACTTATGGCCGACGAATCTATTCGATCGTTATGGTGATTGGCCGACGAGACACTAATTCCGTCGCTATAAGTATTGCGATCGGAACATTAGCGACGGATCAATCCGTCGCCAATAACTCATGGCGACGAAACTCGATCCCGTCGCCAATACCTTATTAGCAGACAGGAAAACCATTGGTGCGGATTGAATCCGTTGCCATATTATTGGCGCGATCTGATCCGCTCGGGCCAATAAGTATTGCGCGGAAGATTTTCTGGTCGCCATGTTTTTTTCGTCACCCAAGGAGTTTGGCGACGGAAAATCATTGGCGCGGCGGGGCGCGCCCGCCGGGCGGGGGCGCCGCCGCGCGCCGGGCGCGCCGCGGGGGCGCGGGGGGGCGGGCGCCGGCGGGCGGGCGGGGGGCGCGCGGGCCGGGGCGGGGGCGGCGCGCGGGCCTGGGCGGCCCGGGGGGCGGCCCGGGCGGCCGGGCGGGGGCCTGGGGTTGCGGCCGGCGGGCCGGCGGCGCGGCGCGCTACACATTTGAATCCGTCGCCCAATACAAAACATCTGCACAGACACATTTACAAACCCCGTCTCAATGTTCCGTCGCCAATGTTTGTATTGGCGACGGATTTGAAATCCTCGCCAATACCCCGTCGCCAAATTGCTCAGTTTTTCTACTTAGTGAAAGGGTAGCGGATTTTGCCGGTGGCGAAGATCTTCAGCGAAGGCTCAGATCTCTTTATTGGGATTTATAATAACGCGCCCAGATCGCCGCATACCGTCAGGCAAGCCATACGGGGGGAGTCACCGCCCAAGTTCACTTTTTCAGTATAGTATATATCAGTATTATTATTATATATATATATGTCATAGTTCTAACAGGAGTCACGAGAATATCTGGTGTCTGTTTTTGTTTACAGTTTGTTCGGTAGTGTGGTTTCACCAGCTTTCCTGTGCGCCCGTAAAACTCCTGTGCTCTCCCCCGTTTTACCCACCCCATGGCTTCTTTCTAAATGTCCCTACAGTTTGATCTGTCTCTCTTAACTCAAATTTTTCTGTTTCGCCCTCTTCTGTGGTCTGTGTTCGCAGTGTTTGTTGTCTCCCAATTGTATTGATCTTTGTTCTTTGCTTTTTCTTTTCGTTTGACTGTTGCTTGTCGTTGTGTCGGTCCCGTTCTGTGTTTGTTGTTAGTGTTGTCGGTTCGGTGTTCTTTTGGTTCTGTTTTTCCTTGGTGTGTGTGTTTCTGTGTCTTGTGCGTTTTAGTCTGTTCCGTTTGTGTTTCGTTTCCTCTGAGTTTACCGTTTGTGTGTTCGTTGTCAAGTCGCACCGGTCTTCATATTTTCTGTTGTCGTGGCGTCTTTGTTTTTATGTTTTTCTTTTGTGTGCTGCTGGATTCCTGTTTGCTGTTCTTTGAGTCTTGTGTTTTGCGTTGTGAAGCAAACAACAAAGAAACGTGGTGAAACAGATCGTTGGAACACAACAGCGACGACACAATTGTCAGATGGCATGACATCAAATGCTTGAATTGAATTTAGATGGCTTGTGCTCCGATATCAAACATCTAATTTGTAAATAAGACGTTTGGTGGTGGAAAAAAGGGATGTCTGATCACAGTGTCAAAAAAACACTATTTTTAAGTTTGATGTCTGGTTCGCTTTGGCAGACGTCTGATGTTATTTTCAGATGTCTTGTCTCCTTTTTCAGACGTCTAAATTTGTTCTAAATCAATTTTATCTCTTTAATGAATTATAGCTTAGTCTGTTGGACTATTTATCAGTTTTAAACTTGTTTAAGAGAGAATATGGGACTAATTGATGATATAGGATGTTTTAATTCAGTCTTGAATGATACTTGGCAAATTTTAACCTTATTATTATATCCTTTTGATATTCTTTCCAGCCACTTGGTCTTTGACCGTAGTTGGCTAATGGGTCTATATTTGGACCAGTTACCTATTTTAAGGCATACTCTTGCCTCAACACATCGGTAGTTCTTTTGGTTGGCTGTTAAGACATTCGAACGATTCGCTCTCTTAGGCATTGACTTTATCCTTCTCTACACGAACCGTATTGTTGAGAGAGTTGTCTAGGATTGGAGTCTGTCTTTATCATGCTGGTTTGTAAACTCTCTTATACAAATAATTGGGGATAGTTGAATTATAATTGAGTGTCTCATATTAATATAATTACATATAACCATTTGATTTATATTAATCAAATGAGGATGA